GAGGGAGGAGGGAGGGAGGGGGGAGGGGGGAGGGAGGCGAGGCAGGGCGGGAGGAGGGAGGTGGGAGGGAGGAGGGAGGAGGGAGGAGGGCTGGGGCCCGAAACTGATTTTTTAATCGTTCCCCCCTTTCTCCTTCCCTCCAGCGTTTGTTTGTTCGCTCGTCGCGTGGACACATACTGTGATGGCCACAAGAAACAATTCAAGTGATTCGCTCCCGCCCAAGTGGTGTCGCGCGTCCGTGCGGTCGCCTGCGGCGTCGTGTTATGTTGCTGCGTCGTGCCGCGTGGTGCAGTGCCGTGTCGTGCAGGATGCCCCGTGCTGTGCCGCGCCGTGTCATCATCATCATCATCATCATCATCATCATCATCATCATCATCATCATCATCATCATCATCATCATCATCAGCAGCAGCAGCAGCATCATCATCATCATCATCATCATCATCATCATCATCATCAGCAGCAGCAGCATCATCATCATCATCATCATCGGTGTTTGAGGCTGACGGATCGCACGTCCGCGCGCGGTCGCCCGGAGGAGGAGGAGGAGGGAGGAGGAAAGATGGAGGGAGGGAGGAGGGAGGGAGGGAGGAGGGGGGAGGGAGGGGAGGGGGAGGAGGAGGGAGGAGGAAGGAGGGAGGGGGGGAGGAGGGAGGGAGGGAGGAGGGAGGAGGGAGGAGGGAGGAGACAGGAGGGAGGGAGGAGGGAGGAGGAATTGAGGGAGGAGGGAGGCCGGAGGGAGGAGGGAGGAAGGAGGAGCGGAAGGAGGAGGGAGGAGGGAAGGGCCGACCCCCCCCGCTCCGAATTGCCTGCCCTCGCCCCCCCCCTGGCCCTCCAGACGGCCCGGGGGGCAACCATAATTGTCCCCCGGAGAATTTTTTTGTTCGCCCTGGGGGGGCCCTCCGTGGGCGGCGCCCCCTCCCCCCCTTATGTGGGCCCAACCAGGCCGGCGAAACTATTTTTTTAAACGTCCGCCCTCAAATGTTTTTTTAATCATATGCCTCCATTATCAGTGTTGACTGTACCTGCGGGGTGGGCTGTCTCTGGGCAACCCGGAACCGTACCAAACTGGTTAGTCCTCGCTGCATGATGTCGGGCGTTCCGATTCCGGGTCGGCATCGCTGGAGCCTTGGGCCGACTCCCCGATCTCCCTGCCGTCGCCTCGCCTCGACGACGACGACGACGAGGACGAGGGCGACGATGTGGACGGCGCTGACGACGAGGACGACGAAGACGACGACGGCGACATACAAGACGACGAGCTCCACGACGACCACGACACGACGACGGTCCAGAGGTCGGTCTCTGGTCTCCGGGCGTCTCTTGAGGTCCCTGGAAGCCTCCGGCCGCCCGGCCCCCGTGGAGGCAGGCAAAGGGTGGAACACTTTCAAAACATCAGCTATCAACCCTTGACGACGACGACGACGACTACGACGACGACGACGACGACTACGACGACGACGACGGCGACGACGGGAACAACGAAAATGAAGAAAACGACGACGACGACGACGATCTCCCTCCAGGCGCGGGCCATACCTCGCGCGGCCGCCAGCTCCTTGAGCTGGGGCTGGAGCGCCAGGGTCGCGACGCCGGCCATGGCCTTGCTATCGTCGTCGTTATCATCACCATCGTTATCGTGGTCGTCGGAGAAGGACAAGAGAGGGAGGAGGAGGAGAAAAGAGAGGAGGAGGATACTCGGGCGCCCATAGAAGGAGAGAGAAAAGGTGAGAGAGATCGCCGCATCCTTCCAACCACTGCGCCGTCTTTCCCAGAGGAGGAGGAGGAGGAGGAGGAGGAGGAGGAGGAGGAGGTGGAGAACAACGACGACGACGACGAGGGAGGAAGTCGGAGGGATAGGGAGAGGACGCGAAGGGAGGAGGAGGAAGAGGAGGAGGACGACGACGACGGCGACGGCGACGGCGACGACGACGCAGGAGGAGGGAGGAGAAGGTTGGAGAAGGGAGGAGACAGAAATAATGAAGAGGGAGAAAGGAGGGAGGAGAGAGGGAGGAAGACGACAGGAGGGGGAGAAGGAAAACAAAACCTTGGCGATGTCGCTGGGCTTCCACCTGGCTCCCGTACGCACTGCCGCGTCCAGGCATGGGCACTGTAGCTCTTAGCGTGACGCTTCCTGGCAGTTTGCAAAGACGCGACTGGCTGCCCCATGTCCAAGACCCTGTCGCCAAGGGAGTGCTGGCATAGTCATCCTCCTTGTCGAACGCGAGCGGGCATCTCAGCGGTCAGGGAGGCCGTGAGCGCTTGAGCATGCCTCCAGCAGCGCGCGAACGAGGGTGCGTGAGACTGGCGAGCTGGCAGCGTGGTTGCCGAAACCAGCTTGGCAGGAGGGAAAACAATTCCTCTCCCCAGCTACGCACCTTCCTCCTGATGCCTCGTTGTCCTCCCTCGCTCCTCTGAACGTTAAGATGAAGAAACACACATGTGTATGTACTATAATATACACACCTTTGGCGATCGCGGCCTCGCGTGCAACGACGAGCGGCGGAACAAGTCGAGCAAGCTGCACAGAACTAGCGCGCTCGGCAGGGCCCTCAGAAGCGGGATCCCATTGGATCGACCGCCCACAGGCCACCTGGGCGTGGGTGGCGAGTGAGAAAAATTGTGCCAACGCCTGATGACGACGGTGACGAGCAGCATGGCGACACGGCCAAACGACGGCGACCGATGCAAGACAGCGGAGCACGCACAAGCGCACTACACAGAGCGAGGAGGGTACCGACAGGACCAAACGTCGCAGCGAAACAGACCCAAGTGGAAGGCGGGGAAGCAGTGCCTGTGCTCCTCCAAGCCACCAGGTGGCTCGCCAGTCGGGGACGACACTCACACACAGACACAAACACATTCGAATGTGGAAAAAGGCACACGCGCGCGCACACACACAAAAGTTGGACGTGGGATCTGGAACAGGAGCTCATACACTGGCCGTGGGGATGCGGCATGAAGCAAGCACTTGACATAGGCACGGGAACGTGAGCTGCCTGCCAAGGCGCCCCGACCTTCGCCCGCGCAGAGGCGTGGCCAAAGGGGGCAGGCGCGCAAAGGAGCACGCTGCGTGCGCCGCCCTGGATTGGTGAGATGAGGGCTGGATGGTGCAGGGTGATGCGGTGTGGTGTGGTGCCGCGCGGTGGAGGTGGAGGTGGATGGGGAAGGGAAGAAGCAGGAGTAGGAAGAGCAGGAGGACGGGGAGCAGGAGGACAGCCGTTGCCCACTCGGGATGAGGCCCACACGGGGACCCACGGCGGGCGGCGGCAGCGAGGCCATAGGGGCTGCACAGGAGGGTAGGATTTCCCCTATCCCCTTTCTGCGGCAGCCCATGGTGGCGCCCGCGGCAGGCGGCGGCGGCAGAGATTCCTGAAGCGAGCCCTGCAACTGCGTCCAAACGGTCAACTGGGATGACTTCTACGAGACAGAGTACTTCCGGCCTGTAGCCGAGGCCCCTCCGCAGTGCGTGTCGGAGATTGGGTTATTCAGCGCGCGTCGGCGGACGCGCGCAGGCGAGGGGCGAGGCCAAGCTGTCCATCGCCCAGAACGTCGCGCTCGACGCCGCCGCCGCCCGCCCTTACTCAGGAGGGCTGGCAGGCGCCCCGCCACCCCCGCAGGAACCGTTTGGTCAGGCTCTGGAGCGACACGGTTTTTGTCTCAATGATGCGGAGTCTCCGCCTCCGGCCCACGAGATGGACCACTACAAGGACGAGGATAGGAACGAACACGCGGCCGAGAACGAGGGCATGTTCAAGGGTTTCGAAGGCACCGCGGTGGTCGTGACGGAGGAGCAGGAGTACGGCGTGGGTGTACTCACGGTTTGGAACAGCGCAAAGGAGGAGTCTGAGGGCATGGATGGCAAGGAGGAGTTCGAGGGCACGGAGAGCACGACGATCGTAAGGGAGGAGGCTGTGGACCTGAGGCAGCGGCAGACGTGGAGATCACGCACTCCGATGTGATCCTTCCTGAGGCTTGGCTACGCCTTCGCGACATGTGTGTTCGTGCCCGCTCGGACCAATTCGTTTGCCTCCGCCTACGCCTCGACCGTGCTGAGGCTGCGCACGGCCCGCCCAAGCGGGAACGTGGCTTTGACAAGTCAGAAGTGACAACCCAATTTTACGAGGCGGCCTTCAGATTCGGGTTCTCGGACGTTTGGGCCATTGGCTACGTGTGCAACGCGATGCTATCTGTTTTGCAAGAACAAGGTTTGAATGTGAAGGCACACATGAACGGTGTCAGCTCCGACGAGAACGGTTTCGACCAGGAGTTCGCAGCGGCGATGGCCGCTTCGTGCTTAGTGTGCGCCGTCCTGCTGCCTTTACACTTCTCTAGTTTAGAACTTGGAGTGTAGAATTCCCAACACGTTGTTTATTCGATACTTATTGCCCTCGATGCTCCCGTGTTGGTGGGATCTTACCCGAGGAACTCGCCAACGCAGGCTTAGGTATCGGGAGCAGTCAAGGGGGTTGGCCGATGTTGTGATCAATGTGGTCCTCACAGTCCGCCTCCGTCTTGCCCTCATAGCTGTTCTCCCATTTCCTCGGCGCTGCCTCCTCGCAGGGCGTGCAGTCGTCGAGCCGCCGCTGCTGCGGGTCCTACTGTAGGCGGAGGCTGTAGAGTCGGAGGTTGAGGCGGCTGCTCTCGCACGCGACCGTGGCCGTTAGGTCGGCCTCTCGCGAAGACTGACCTCTCGCGGTGCGATAAGCCATCTTGGCGCAGAGCCTCTTGCCGGCTCTCTTGCCGGCTCTCTTGCTGGCTCCTTTTTGCAGGGGACGTCCGAGGCGGGTGAGGAGGATAATTGGGAGGATGTGGATGCGTCGAGTAAACATGATGTTCTTCGCAACCTGTTTGTGCTGTGCCGGCTCTTTAGCCGCCGCGCCGTCGGAGAAGATGGCGCGCACAACCGCGACTTTGGCCCAGTCTGGCCTGATGTGGAGGAGTAAGTGGGGTCTGGTAACGGTGAAGGAGGAGAAGCGTTACGACGAAATCTATCTATTCTAACGCTCGCCGTCCTGGGTGTATTCGTCGACAGCAGCGGCGGAGTCGTAGCAGAGTGCCGCTGGCTGCTGATACCTCTGCTCTTTCTCGTCGTCACGACTGCTGTCCAAAACTGCACGTCGAAATGAGCGCCTGACTGTGACCGTGGCTGATCGTGTAGGGAAGGCAAGCCTCTCACGGTCGACATTGGTGTCTCTCGGACGGTGCCCGTGGCCCCCCACCCCGGTCTCTCTCGGACCCGAATTACAATAGCAGAGGTTGCTTGTGGCATGGGCTTGGCGCCGCTAGCTCAATGCAGCTTCGCGCCCCTTGGCTGGTCCTCCGAGAGTGCACTGATGATGGTGGAGTTTGGCGAGGGTCTGGAGGTGATGGAGGATTGAGGGTAGCACGTCGTCCTGGGCCAGTCGCCGCTGGCGATCATTGCCAGCGTGGCGCTCATCGCCTTGTAGCCTCGGACCTCCCGTTGGGAAGATGAGGTGGAAGATGATGTCGCATTGTCTGCCGAACTCCTCTGCTAGGCGCCAACCGTGGACCGCGTACGGCCATCTTCTGGAGGAGTGGAGTGTGGTGGGGGTGCTGATGATGCTGATGATGAGGAGGCGGAACTTCCCGTTGCTGTGCGTTCTGGTGCAGGCTCTAGTTTCTTAGAGGTCCTCCCTTCTGTGACGGCATCCCCCGATCCAACATACCTCGAGCTCCCGTTGATTCGGGCCGAGGGTGTAGGGTGGGACAACCTGACGCGGGACCTCTACTACTTGCAGATGTTGCCGTTCTGCCAATTTCTCCCCTTCGCTCCCGTCCGACACCTTTACATCTTTGCAACGATTGACGGTCTCTCGCCTCGCATTCGCTCTTGAACGAACTGTTGGTGGCGACTGTCCTGATGCCGCCGAGAGCTCCTGCTGTCCTGTGCAAGGCACGCCGTTCTTGCTCATGCGGCTGCTGCTGTTGTAACCCGATGTTGCTGACGCTTCTGGCCCATGAGACCCAACAACTTGCCCAAGAAAAGAAAGCAGGAGGAGAAACAGGAGGACGGGGAGCGGGAGGAGAAAGTGTGACCCTGAGATCTGGGCGTCGCCTTTTTTGTAACGCCAAGCGGTCTCGCTGGGATTCGGGCCCTAAGGCCACCACGGATCGTCCTGGGCCTCTGGTCGATATTCCTGACGATGCAGCACTTGTACTGCGACGTCGCTTCTCAGGGAGCCAAGAGGAAAAGGATGAGGACGAGGAGGAGGAGGAGGAGGAGAAGGAGGAGGGGTGGGGGGCCCGGGGCCAGAGAGAGGGAGAGAAAACGACTGACAAACCTGCGCGGGGCACGGGCGGATGGCACCGCAATGCCTCAGATGGACCCGTTCCCAGAAATTCTACACGCAGAAGCTCCCCTCGAGGCTTCCCCCACAGCTCTGCATTGCAAGCGTGAGTAATCCAGCCCCCCATCAGGGGTGAAGAACCCGAGTCGGAGAGCCGCCTCGAGAAGAGCAAGGCGCACGGCCCTAATGGTTCCAACCACGCCCCCGCCCGCTGGTCAATTGCAGCCGCCTCCCCTTCAGCTCCATGACGACCAGACGACACCCGAAAGCAGAACTCAGAAGACACACCGAGCACGGACCAGCGAAAGTACCCTGCATCCCTCACTGGCTCCTCCCTCCTTCCCGCTCCCGTCTCTCAAGCTCCAGCCGCGCCCGATTCGACTGGCGCCTGGATCACACCGGCCAGCAAGCCGTAGTAGTTGAAGCCAAACTCAAAGGCCAAGTAGGAGAACATGTAAGCAAAATTGCTGTTCGCGAAAATAGAAAACGCCACGACGGCCGGGGCGAACGCACCAAGCCTGCGGCAGATTGCAGAGGAGGAGGAAGAGGAGGAGGAGGAGGAGAAGGAGGACCAGTGTAAACCCAAGAGTCGTCAACGATGCTGGAAGATTCCCTCCCTCCAAGCTCACTCTGCACAGGCCCCTACCAGGGTTCATTTCCACTGAGGGAACTGCCTCGTCGGGAGGCAACCGTTTGAAAACTCTGACGCATGCCTCTGAATTCCAAAGCCACGGATGAACCTGACTGTTGCGTCTTGACGAGCCTGAATCGCAAAAGAAGGCAATTCCTGGTACTGCAACACCGCGAGCCAACGTAACTGATGCACCCTCATAATCCTGAATCCGTCCAAAACACCATTTCTGGTACGCTGATCATTCGAATCCGCGAAACTCTTGCGAATGTGTAAAAGCGAACGTGCGCGTCACTAAGGCGAGAACCACATTTTGAAAAGGAGCCGCCCTCAATCCGTGAAGCTCTTGCGAATGTTTAAAACGAATGTGCGCGGCGCTAAGGCGAGAGCCACATTTTGAAAAGGGACCGCCCTGAATCCATGAAATTCTGCTATTTGCAATTTACGAGAGCCACATTCTGAACACGATCCGCCTTCAATATGTAATGTTCGCGTCGCTAAAGCGAGAACCACATTTTGAAAAGGAACCGCCCTCAATCCGTAAAACTACTGCAACTGATTAACACGAATGTGCGCGGCGCTAAGGGGAGAACCACATTTTGAGAACGGCCCGCCCTCAATCCGCAAAACTCTTGCAATGGTTTACAACGAATGCGCGCGGCGCTAAGACGAGAGCCAAAGTTTGAGAACGACCCGCTGTCGTCAATTTCGAAGCTTCAGGGTCACAAATGGTGAGGAAGTCTCAGGCGAAACGCCCAGACCGCCCTAAAAACTGGCCTCGGGGTGCGACAGGGAGAGATTATCTATAAGGAAAAGGCATGGAGGAGGAGAAGGCAGAAGGAGGAGAGGAGCCATAGCGCCGTCGCGTGGCACACTCCCGAGGAGAACATCAGAGCCACGACCGGCGAGAAGCCATACCGGTCGATGCAGTAGCCGAGCACGGGGTTGAGGAAGACGCTCAGCGGGCTAAACCTCAGGTAGGTGGAGACCTCGCCCGCGGCCGCCCCGGCTGTCTCCTCTGGCGTGCCCGCGGAGAGGCCGGCGGGGCCGGCGAGCAGGGCGGCCTGCGCCTCGACCTGCATGTTGCCGAGGAACAGGTTGTAGAAGAGGCTATTGACGATGAAGACAACGGACAGCTCCTGAGGGCCGGAAATGAGTATCGTTGCAACGATCCCCTTTCCCACTGGCATGGCCTTGGCCCCACTGGCCGACTCACCCCCCCCCGGGTGGGGACCTCCCCCTTCACGGTCACGCCCGTTCTTGCCAGGGAGTAGTAGCACGGTCTCGAGGGGGGGGGAGGAGGAACGGCGGCCTCGAAGCGACGACGCATCGCCGATCGATCGGCGATGGGCCCCCAGCAACGACGCCGCACGCTCCCGGGCGGATGGTTGGGCGCCCCAGCCCTGATTCGGTGACGAGTAGGCGACCTCTGAGACCGATGCCCCGCCCCCACCCGCCCCTTGTCTCTCCCGACGTCTGGTCCCTGGAGGCCTGGTGTCTAGAGGCCGCGCGAACGGAGTCGGAGTAGATGGGGTCGGCGGATCGCGCCACATCGCCGATGCATCGCCGATGCATCGCCGATGCATCGCCGATGCATCGGCGACGTAGGCGCGGAGAAAATCATGCTCCACATCGAGCCGCATCGCCGATGCATCGGCGATGCGGCGCGATCCTCCAGCCCCACCCACTCGAACCCCCTCTGGGAGGCCTAGACTGTCTCCCCGACGTCTGCTCTCGGGAGGCCTCTGGAGCTCTCCAGGGCCCATGGAGGCCGGACGTCTCCCACAGCCTGGAGGCGCAGAGACCACTGGAGGCGCTTGAGGTCCCCATAGGACACCAAAATTCTAAGCGCTTCCAAGCGCATACCCGGGTGTCCCCATAAAACACAAGGATGTTTTTGATGTCCCGGGCATACGTAGGCTCGATGTCTGTTTTCGAAGCATGGGCCCTCGCACCTCGCCGGAGACCCCTCGCAAGGGACCAGCGTGTCACCCTAGATCGCTCTGTGACTGCCCCAGAGTGCCTGAAGACGGACCTCGTGGGGCCCAAGATGTGGCGAAGAACTGGCAGTCCCGATTTTCTCGCGATACCACCCAGATCTGGAGGCCCATAGCTTGCTCCTCCTCCGGAGGCAGCCCAGTGGGAGCTGAGAAGACAGGGTCGGAGGAAGATTGCGACGTATCGCACATGCATCAGAAGTGCAGCACGATCCTCCGATCGCCTGGTCCTGCCTCCGACGTCGCAATCTTTTCGTGACGCGGGATTCCAAGGAATCTCGACCTCTTCCCCGTGGCCGGCTTTTCATCCTTGCGCGTTCGTGTGACGGCCCCAGGACCAGGAAACGGCCTCAAAAGCCGAAAACACTGAGAAACAGAAAACCACACACTACTCTTTGCAATGCCCAAACCTGAAGGCTACCGCGTGCTGTGGCCCGGGTTGGGCCTATCTTCTCGGCTGGCCCACGACTGGGGGGGCAGAAAGGAAACCGGCACCGCTGTACTCCCTGGACCTCTCCCGGGGTGCGTTCCGACGTGAATTCACGACGGGAGCTCCGCGAAGGCGCCGGAGAGCAGCTGGTCCCGCAGCGACTCGCCCCCGCGGGCCGCCACGCCCGCGTCCGCGACCTCGCCGCCCGCGCCGCTGGAGCCACCCGGCGACGAGAAGTCCGCGGGGCTCCCGCCGCCCGTGCGCGAGCGCGGCGGCGTGCCCGCGGAGGGGCTGCCGTCGAGCAGCGGCTGCCGCGGCGTGCGCGGGGTGGCGCTGTGGCTCCTGTGGCCGATTGGAGCGGGCTGCTCCTCCTCCTCCTCCTCCTCCTCCTCCTCCTCCTCCTCCTCCTCCTCCTCGCCACGAGTACACCAGAATGTAGCCGCAGCGATGTAATCTGAGCTGGCGGAGTGAACGAAACGATTACACAAATTGCAACGCCAGGATCTCAAGGCTTGCCCTTCGAGCTCAGGCAGCACCCGCTGGGCGGCGGGGAGGGCGGGCTGGGCTGAGCTGGCACGGGGCCAATCAAGCTGCTACAGCCACGGAATGGCCTAAGGAACAGCGAGCCACTTCTCCAACCCAAAGCGGTCCTTACTTCAACGTCTTGGCTATAGCTAAAAACGGGTTTCGCCAGTGGCCCTCCGTAGAGGCCTTCTGGATGGGGTCCGAGTAGATGAGGCTGGACGATCGCGCCGCATCGCCGATGCATCGGCGAGGCGGCTCGATGTGGAGCCCGACTTCCTCCACGCCGACTTCGCCGATGCATCGCAAACGTCACCGATGCATCGGCGATGCATCGGCGATGTGGCGCGATCCTCCGACCCAATCGGACCCCATCCCCATCTGGGAGGCCTAGACTCGAGGGAGGAAGGGTACGCACCGATACCGCTGCTCGTTCTTGAAATCTCTCGTTGCCACGACTGGACTCGCTTCGAAATCCTAGCCAGGACTCACTCGGGGAGAGTTCCGGGGAGTCGCGGTATCAGTATCGCGGGTTCGTGTCCTGTCGACACCAGCGTTGGTTCCTGACACCGCGGGGATCTTTCAACCTTGAACGATCGGCGGTTCCCGAAACGTCAGATCGTTCAACATCAACCGACTCTGGATCAACGGCGGGGTCCAAGGGTGAACGACGGCATCGGGGTCGCCGTCAATCGACACGACGCGAAGCTGCCGTAATTTGCTGTTCACCCCCAGACCCTGACCAATTACGGCCAGCTCCCGCCGTGTAGGTCCCAAAAGTTGTGATCACATGTGTCCGCACCACCCAGTACAGCGCTTCGCGGCCCCATAGAAAGCTCCACCGAAGGCCCCAGCGGTTGTGATCTCAAGCGCCCGCGCCACCCAGTACAATGTTTCGTGGCCTGCCCCTGGGGAACCCCACCGAAGGGCCTTGGTGGCGGTGTCCACATGCGCCCCCCGCCAACGTTGGCATACCCTCACATGATTCGTGGCCTCTTCAAAGAGCTCTCCCTCCTTCGTCACACCTGCCTTGCGGCACTCACAATTGCATATGCTTGGGTCCTTCGCCAGGATCGGTATGTTGTGCAACACTCTGTGTGAACTCACAGATCATGTTTCTCCGTTCGATGCTAACGTTGCACCCTGCGTTTGCCAACGCGTCATGCTGGATAAGCGGCCGAGAGAGCGAGGGCCACTGCCCAATTAAAAAATAAGGACGGATCTAACTGCATGGCTCTGTGTCAAAACCGATCTAGCGACATGCGGCCTGCAATCGTCTCGTCGCGAAGTCCCCACGTGCCGCACCGCATACATCCTCCTCGTTCATCCTGCCGCGCAACACCACTTCCGTCGAGAAGGCCCAGCCATGAACCGCATGGACAACCACACCCTTGATGAAACAATAAGAGTACGGAAGCAATGCGCCGTATCGCCGCGTGGCACGGCAGCGATGGCACTGGTGTCCTTATTGCCAAGAGATTACTCAGGCTTCAGAACATTGACTTAGCAGGTAAAGGAGGCCGGCGGGCTCACCTGCACGGGCAGGCTCGCGCAAGCCATGGGCACCCGAAGGCTGCCTAGCCGCGCGGCGGCCGCGCAAGGGAAACAGAGAGGAGGACTGGCACCGAGACGTGGTGACAGGCGTGGTAAACTTTTTTTTTCCGCAGGTCGCAGCACCCCAGGCGCACGTACGGACCGAACGCGTAAACCCATGCCCAAGTCAGCTGTTCCACGACATTCCTCAGGCTGAAGCACGGAAGATCGCAACTGTCGGCCAGCTCCCAAGGGAGGGAAGGGAGGGCCAAGAGCACCAATTACAGAGAATGAAAGCAAAAGAAGGAGAATCCCAGAAATGGTAAGTTCACAGATGATCACAGAAGGCGCCACGTTGGCACGGTAGCAAAACTTGACGCCACTTGACGCCAAATCTCCTGCTCTGCGCACCGCCACGCCTTGGAGGCGTGAAGCTGGTGGCCCACTCAGGGAGCCATCCTCCGGGCAGAGGAGCCCACGGCCAACTGCGCCCCCTGGCTTCAGGCCCCTGGGGCAGGAGCACCTCGGAGAGACACCTCGAGGAGGACGCCCCCTTCGTGCCAGCGGGTCACGCGCCGCAGATCGAGTCTGGGACCTGGGGGCGCTCCTCCGTGCCGGGCAGGCGCGAGCCTGAGCTGGCGCAGCCTGCCGCGGCCGAGGTGCTGCCGCCGCGCTCGGCGGCGGCCGAGACGCCGGCGCGGAGCGCAAAAGGCCCCACGGTGGTGCTCCTCGAGGCGACCGTCTGCTGTGGGCCTGTCTGCCAGATGCGCCCGACGCTCTCAGCATCCGCCATGACAACGTAGGCGATGACCCCGGGCCGGGTCCGAGATCCGCCACACTTCGCCATCAGCTTAGAGGAACAAAGGAAGTGTAGACACAGGCAGTCAAAAACTGTTGCTTAGCGTGTCGCAGCGGCGGCCCTGGTGGTACGCTACGCACTGCATGCGGATACCGTGTCGCTCCGAATCGCGGGACGGATGGCCGGGAAAAGCTAGAGACGTTGACACTTGAGACGTGGAAGCGCCGATCCAAAAAATCCGCGCGGACCTCCGAAAGTGTATGTTTATGCAGTTCTCTGTTCTTCGAACCTACCTTCGCCTGCGTGGCCAACACCTTCCTGACCCGCCCGAAGGCGGAGAAGTGCATCGCCAGAGCCCTCGAGGTCTCAAAGCCCCGGGCGTTGACCCGTCGCACGACAACCACGTGCTGGGAGTCCTCGCGACACAACGACTGCAAGCAGTTCCCAGTGGTGCCAGACTGACAAGCTCTGCTCAGATCGCAGCCGAACTCGCTCGCGCACTCGAGCGGCCCCCTGCGCACTCGCTCCGCACAGTGCCCGCCCGCACGACACGCACACGCCTCGCAGCAGTCCGTCTGGGCTGCTGGGACGGTGGTGGCGACCAAGGCCCCCAAGGAGGCCCAAAGCGGCGAAAACTAGGCGAGGGCAGCGGTATCGGTACCCCTTCCTCCTCTGAGCCCCCTGGCCTCCTGGTGTGGCGGCGGCGGCCGCCGCAGCCGCCGGCCCTTCAGTCTGGCCCGGCGGCTCCGCGGTGGCACCTCGTCGGCGCGCCCGCGAGGCGGCCTGCCTGGCCCGCAGCCGCAGTTGCACTCGCGGGCGCCGGCACAGTGGCGGGGCGCCCTGGCACGGCGGCGGGGCAGCCAGGGAGACCTGCAAGCCGGCCGCAAGGCAGGGCCGGCAGCGGTACGCCGCCGCCGCCCGGAGGACCGAGCCCGCGGGCAAGTCGGGCATCTTGTAGCGCGGGCGGGGGCGGGAGCGATTCCAGCGCGGGCGGTGTGCCTGCAGGTCGGGCGCTGCCTCCAGAGGCCTGCCGACACGGCCTCGATCCTCGAGCGAGCGGAGAGGTCCGTCGGTTGGGGCGGGGAAAGGGAGATAGGTGCGACGGGGGGAAAGATGGCCCCCAATGGGAGGCCCCTTGCCGCAAGCGGGCTGTCTATAGACTGCTCGGGGATAGGGCGCAACCTGAAAGTGTGGTTATACCGTGCAGTCAGTCGAAGGATGGCAACAGGAACGTGTGTCACGAACGCGAACTCCTTCGGCGAATCAAGAATATTCCAAAATGGAGAATCCAAGGGTGCCCCTGAGAAGCTAAGATTGTTGCTAACCCTCGTGCCAGCTGTACGACAGACCGCATTTGACGATGGAGGTATGCGCACGAAGGCTTGAAGTGCCAGGCGCACCCCTTAGACGCAACCTACAGCCACAAGAAATCTCTGGGCACATGGGGGCAACCTATGCAGCAAGTAATGGCGCAACCGATGGCCGCAAAACGCCCACGGGCGCACGAGCGCAATCCATGGGCAAAACCTACGGCCGAGAAATGCAGGGAAACATGTGAATGAGCAAAACCTCTGATCACGAGAAATCTCCAGGCACATGAGCGCAACCTGTGCCGCAACTCAACGGAATTTCACCAACGCGCAAGCGCAACCTATAGGCGTAACCCATCGGAAACTCCGTGCGCACACGGGCGCAATGTACGACGCAATCCATTGGTGCAACCTCTGACCGAGAGGGAAATCCCCGGGCACATGGGCGCAACTCATGGGCACACCCTATAGGCGCAACCTGTGGCCGAGAGAAAGCTTCGGCACGCATGCCGCAACCCATGGGCTGCTGGCGACGCGGCCACTCGCACAGCAGCGCGGCGCAGTAAAGGTCAGGCGGATCGAGACGCGCGCGGGCCAGCCGAAATCAAACAGCGTGGAGCTGCACACACACACACACACACACACACACACACACACACACACGCACGCACGCACACACACACAGACACACACAAACACACACACATACACACAAACACACACACACACAAACACACACACACACACACACATCATCCACAACACGCCGATCCTGGGCCCAGGATGGGCGGGGCCTGGCCAGGATCGAGGATCGGTGCAGGTGCACAGCTGGCGCCCCACGAAGCGGTCAAAGGTGGGGGGCCGGCGGGCTCCAGAGGCTGAGGCTGCGCACCTGCCGCCCGTTCCGCTTGCGCCTGGGCACGGGAGAGGTGGCAGTCTCGCGGGGAGCGGCGTGGGGCGGAGGCCAGGCCTGGACAAAGGCGGGCTGAGGGGGGGGCGGCCGGGGAAAGGGGAAGGCCCGGCCCCAACATATTGCCATCGATGCCCCGCTCAGGCGCGGGGCCTGGCATGATGTGATGTGGAGAAGAGAGGAGGAGGAGGACGAGGACGAGGAGGAGGAGGAGGAGGAGGAAAATGCTCCCCACCCGATCTATTTTCCTGTCCAGGGCTGAAGCGTTTCTTGATGACGGCGCAGGCTGAGGCCGCCCGCCGGCTCCACATTCAGAGACACTACCGCCGGCGAGTCTCCACCATATGATACACACGCAGACTAGAGGAAGAAGAGGGCGGTGGAGGGGACAGAAGATGGAAGCTTGAGCAAGAGCGATGGCAACGGCATCACGTCGGCAAGACGAGCGAGCAGAAACAATCACGTTTCGAAGACAGGGCATGCTCCCCACCCGATCTATTTTCCTGTCCAGGGCTGAAGCGATTCTTGAAAATAGCGCAGGCTGAGGCCGCCAGCTGGCTCCACACTCAGAGACACTAGCGCCGGCGAGTCTCCACCATTTCCCAAACTGGATGCCTGGCAGCCGGCAGAGACCTGTAGAATTCGAATCAAAAAAACACTTGCAGACACTTGTGAGGCGACACCTAATTAAGCAATTGCACACATCTGGCGTGCTCTATACTAGCGGCGCTGGACAGCAGCCGACGGGCAAGGGCACGAGAGACCGACCTGGGGCATGGCTCAGCAAGCTGCGTCCACTTCCTCCCGCCAGGTGCGTTGCCCTGCAGGGTGATGTGCCTCAGGCCGGTCTTCGAGCATAACCCGTGGCGGCCGCAGCACCGCTTCTCAAGAGCCCAGGGAGCTGGAAAACAGCTCCAGGAACAGAACCTTGTGGACTTCCTCCATCTGGTTCCGCGCTGGCAATACTCGGTATTCGCCTGTGCACATTTTGGCATGGACCCGAGGTGCATCTGAACGGGTTCTTTCCACATGAGAGAGGTGAAAGGATTCTCCATGCAGGCAGGCACGTGGTACTTCAAGCAATGCGTGATGATTTGCTGTGTGTGCTTTAGAATGATGTTGCCTACGTGCACGCGCTGCAGCGCCTGCTCGTTCAACCCGGCTTTGCCGTATATCGAGAGCTGATCACGATAGAAACCATGAGAGGCGTTGGACCATGTGGAGCATGGCGGCGCCAAAGAAAAACCTCGCACCACTCGACTCGACATCCAGCCCTTGATGACCCTGATGAGGGATGGGTTGGTCAAGTCGAAGGCTTCATTGTCGGCGAGGTCCAAAAGATGACGGCCCAGTCCCCTTGGCTCTCCAGCTCACGAGATCCCAGAGAAAAGATCGAGAAATACGTGTCAAGAACGACGTCCTCGACGACGGGCTTCACTCGGGTCGGGCGAAAGGCGGGGATAGCAAAGGGGGGGGTGAGAATCAGCTCGCGTAGCTGATTTTCCCGGCGCCTCCCAGCGCCGGGAGGCGCCCATGTATCGAGGAATGGGCCCCTCGGTCGGGCCGAAACCAGCTGCGTGCAGCAGATTTCGCACCCCCCCCTTTCCCAATCCCCCCCTCTCGCCTGACCCGATTCACGGAGAGCGCGCTGGCACTCGCGAAGGACAGCGGCATGGCCTAGGCGACGGGCCGCTTGACCGGCGTCGCCTGCTCGCCACGCCGCCCCAGTAGTCAAGGGGCCGCAGCCTGAAGACTTGCGGGCAATGCCGGCTGGCACTTCCCCGCGATCACCTCCGCCAGCCTGTCGGCCACCTGCTGCCCGTGCACGAGGATGGGCGTGGGGGCCGCGGCCAGCTCTGCCGGGCACCTGGCGTGCTTCCCACACCTCCTGCTGGACTGGTCGGTGGCGTGCCGGAGGCGGTGCTGGATGTCCACCAGCCCGCGGCGGCCCTCCGCCATGTCGCAGCTCGCCGCCCCGTGGCGCACCTGGTACGGGCGCGCGCTGTCGCGGCCCAGTGCCCGGAAGAGCGCGCGGAACTGCCTGCCGAACTCGTGCGACGACAGGTCCCACGCGCGCCCCTCGGGCCCGGCCCTGTCCTTGAGCTGCTGCAGGCGCTGGCCGATGACGGCCGACATCGCTGGGGTCAGCGCGGCGCTCTCGTCGAACGGCCGCGCCTTGCTCCGCAGGGGCTGCTCCTCGGGGTTAAGGAGAAGAGCCCAGGCCCCCGCGGCTGGGAGAGCCTGCCCCCCGACCCAGACTGGCGGCACGAGGGGTGCCCCCGCGAGCTTCAGCAGGTCGCTGGGGAGGCGCAAGTATAAGACGAAGCCGGGATCGGGGCAAAGTTTGACCGGGATAAAAATCATGCTCGGTTTTTAAAATCACCGGGGGCGCCGCCGAACGGGCCTGCCACGCCTTGGGCACCATCGGTTTCGCGAGGGAAGGAATGCGCCCCGGCGCGGATGAGGCCACGGCGCATATTTGGCCACGCGCGCGCCCGAGGGAATTCAGCGCCAAGCGCCTTTCACTCCAGAAGACCCGACGTCAACAAAACAAACTTGAGGCCCCAAGGGGGCCCCGAAGAGGCGGACCGCCAAAACAATCACGCAACCAACGCAACGAAAAACACGTGTAAATGTCAAAAAGCGCAGTACTCAGTGACCTCTTCGGCGACGCAACACCGCGAGAATGCCCAAGAAGGCATTGGAAAAAGAGCCCGCGCGCGGCCTGGCGACTTCCCCGCGCCGCCCCAAGGTTCCCGAAGCGCGCCGAAATAACCGTAGAGAAAACCTCGGAAAGTTTTTGGAAGGCCCCCGCACCATGCAATATCCGCCACCGAATAATCTCGCGGACACCTAGCGCGTACGCGCGGGCGTCCACCATGGATGCCCAACTCCGGTTTCGGAGACAATCGCGCGCAACCGCCCGGGGGCTTCGGCAACCTCGCGATTGGCCCAGGGGCCCGCGGGCCCCAAGGAATCGAGGACCGAGTTCGCGACTCCGGAAGCATCGGGCGCAGCGCCAGCCAGTCGCTCGTCTCTGGCTGACGGTGGGACGCCTGGACATCCGGTAAGACCTGAGGAACCGCTTTTCAGAGATTCACAGAACCAGAAAACTGGGCGCGCCAAATTCTCGCGTCCGAACTTCTCTGAGAATCTCTGAAAATCTTTGAACGAGACACCCCGCGTGAAACATTCCCATAAGCCCAAAACCTCGGAGCTGGCCGAAACTCTCTGAGAGTTTTTCGGCCCTCGAAATTTGGCGCGCCCGGATTTCCCGTTCCGAGATTCTCTGAAATCGGCCTGCGGCGGCGCCCAGCAGGTCCTCGCGCGTCGAAGGTGGGGGCCGTGGACATCGCAGGCCGCGATGGTCCCGACCACGAGGTCCTTCCTCCTGCCCCTCGACGAGTCCACGCTCATGGACACGCTCTCTGCGCTGAACGTGGACCGCGCCATCCGCAGGTACTTCTGCGCGACGACAGCCAACTGGCCGCCGACGGACAAGGCGATTCTTTTCAGAGCTGCGCGCGCCACCGAAAACGTACAATAGCCCCGGGCTCGGGGAGAAACACTTTCGAAGCACTTTCAGGCCGCCAGCGTCGTGGCTGCCGACCCGCCGCGCGCCGACCGCGAGACTGGCTGGGCCCACTGCGTCCACGGCGGCGGGCGGGCGCCCAAGAGCTGTCGCGACGGTGCGCGCGGCGGGGCGCCCGCCCCACTGCAACCGCACACGCGGCCTCCATGGCGCCACAGGCGTAATATGTGTGACGCACTCGGGCCCCGCATCAACGCATCGGCCAGCGCCCAAGCCCCTGAAACGCAAACCTACTGCGCCCCCCGTGCAAGCCGCGCACCCGCTCCCAATGCTCGTGCGCACCAGCTTTTCTGCCCGCCCTCAACAGTTTAATTGAGCGCCCATGCGTTACTTGGGCTCCTCAAGCCCTCGAAAAGTCCTTGGGGAACTTCTGCGAATGCGCGCGCTGCGCTCCACAATTCGGCGTTCTATTTTTCTTTGGAACTCTCCCAGAATCTCTGGTTCCGATTTGTCCCGATCTTCCGCTCAACTGAAAGTAGGCGCCCCAGCTCAAGCACAACGCGGCGTCCACGTCGCGCCAGCCCCACCTCTCCGCCAAGCCGATCGCGGCGAAGACCGGCGGCTTCGCAAGCGGGGCCCGGGCCTGCCCGCGCCCCAGGCGCGGGCACCCCTTCGCGGCGACCAGCGCGGCCGCCATCTTGCTGTGGTCGCCGAGGCCGGCCTTCGGAAGGACGTGCTTGACGGCGGCGTAGAGCTTGTCGGCGCGGTCGTGGTTGTGCCCCGCGAAGAACAGCGCATCTAGTTAGAGGGGCATCATGGCGTTCACCTGCTCTGCCGTGGTTGGGATAACTCCTCTTTCCTGGCACCACCGGCGGAACTCGTCCCACTCGCGCTGGAAGTTCCGCCTTGCATGATGACCAACCTTCTCGAACTGCAGCGCCGTGGGGCCCACCTGGCCCGCCGCGCCCGTCTTGAAACCGTGAACCTTCTTGCGGTGGGCCGCTCGCGCCCCCAGCTTCGCCGTCGCTGACGTCCGCGAGGTCGCTGGCGTCACTGCTGCTGCTCGACGAAGATGAGGAGGAAATCTCACTCGAACTTCGGGCCGACGTCGACCCTGGTGCGCCGCTGATGCAACGAGGCCCCCAATACACGGCGTAGGCCTCGCCGCCAGGAGCAGGATCGTCGACGAGGTAGTCGCCGAGCCCGCTGAGGCCGGCGGCCGCGCCGTTGGCCCGCGCCCGCAAGAGGACCTGGTCAACCTCGGACCGCAGGGCCAGGGCGGGGCCCCATCGCCGGCGGCGCGGAGAGCAGTGAGCACGGCGTGGATCGCCTCGAGGGTTTTTGACTTGAGCCAGAGCGATACGAGAAGGAGCGCCCCCAGGCTGCCACTCCGAAGGGATCCATCGCCCAGTGCAGGAGGACCCCGTAAAGATGGACAAGGCAGCAAGGTGTCGAAACTGACGATTGACACTGACCGACGAGGACCTTCCTTTTCCCATGGCGAGAACAAGGCCCAAGTTGTCCTCCAGCAAGAAGTGGCGCCGGTTGAAACGCCCAACAGCTCGCGAACGGTGGCGGGCCCCCATCAGCGCGGCCCGCGCCTCCAGGGTCACGACGTCCTCAATTCGCCTGAAGCGGCCACTGAAGAACGCCTTCCAAGCGCGCTTGTCCCCGATCATGTCGCGCGGGATGGCCGCGAAGTCGGTCGTGCCACGACGAGCTCGGACAGCTGGAGCACCGCGCCCTCCGCCTTCTTCCAGAGGGACATCCGCAGGCCCGACCGCCACCGCGCTGCCTGGTTTTCCGACGCTACCCCCACGGCCCGACTGAACGGGAGCTCGCACTTAGGATGGGATCGCGGCATGCCGTCTCCATGCGTGGCCTTCGATCGGCGGAGATCCAGGATGAAGGGTGGCGTCGGGCAGGTCGGCGCCCGCGAACTCCTCGAAAGCGTCGCCACTCCGAGCGACGCGGGGCAGCCGCGGGCCCTCCAAGCCCAGAGCGGCCGCGCGCCGCGATGGCGGAGCTCGCGCTGTACCTCCACCGTTCTCCCTGGGAGATCGCGAGCTCGACAGCCAACGGGCCCCTCTCCAGCTCGGTGACTCCCAAACCTCCGTGATCCACGAAGCCGGCCCCAGAGGCGTCAGTGGCTATGACCACTGGGTCGTCAAACCTCCGGCAGTTGGCGAAAGCGAAGGGGGGCAAGGGGGCCGCCTGGCGCAGCTCAGTCTCGACCTCAGCCCACAGGCGCCCCCTAGCTGGACCGGATTTCTTCATGCAGACGTAGGTCTGATGCAGGATGCTGAGCATGCAGCGGCGGAGCAAGGCACCACCAGGTGTAGTGTCCCACCAGGCGCGCAAGCTCATCGCCAGTAGCCCAGCCTCGATCTGCGATCCAAAGTAAGGCCAACCTAGTTTTCCAAAATCGAGATGCAGTCCTACGTATCTGAGCAGTCCTCCTGTTGAAAATCATTACAGTGAAAACCTGTTCGTCAGAGGGCTCGCTAACGCCCTCGCAAATGAGGCCGACACTACCCATCCGCAAGACAATCTGTTCGCAGGTCCGAACAACGACGGCGGGGTCCTGGCTGACCACAGCGACGTTATCCGCGTAGACGCCGATGCCGAGCGAGTGAGAGTCAAGGTTCGGCGCCTGGTGGCGGTCGCGGATCAGCAGGTCCTCGGCGCATCTGGCGTCGAGTACGCACTGTGCAAGGAGCCGTTGACAGAAATGAAGTGACCAAGCCCACCCCATTGGGATAACAGTCAGCAACGGAGATATCAACGCCCCCTCGGGCACGACGAATTCCGGGCCAAAGGCGGCGACGAGCTCGTTCCTGTGGACGGCAGGGAGGGCGGAGTGGTCGCGCATGCCGCCCCGCAAGCTGATCCAGTAAAAAAGGCGTTGTCCACGTCGGCCTGGGCCATGTTCCGCTCGAAGGTGGGGCCCTCCTTCATGGAACTCCAAGCTGAGGCCGCAGCAAATTGATAGTGCGCTGGCTCAACAAACTTCGAGTTCACCCGTCGGGCGTCAAGGATCACCCGGAGCCGCGCCGCGTCGGACTTCCAGACAAAAAAGATTCCCACAGTGTGTGGGCGTCTCTTGCCAAGGCAAACCAGACCGCGATGAATCAAGTCGGCAATGAACACGGCGTAGCCGACGAGGTCTCGAATCGAGGTCTGGTCGCTGACGGGCCTGATGTCTCCATCGGCGGGGTCTTGACGCAGGATGCGCTGCTGCCAATGTACCCGCTGGTCCAGCGCGTCACCTCGAAGGACCTGATCTGGCTGGCAGCGTGGCCCAGGTGGCGGAAGGGGAACTCTATCTCGCTGATGCGCAGCGCGTTGCACTGGTTCGGCGGCGCAACCAGGCGCACCCCCGCAAAGCTCACGATGGGCTTCCGCGGCGCTGCGTGGGGCAGACCCCGCGCTGCTGATGACTTCGCGCAGGTGACGCAACCCCTCTGACTGCGCCCTGGAGACACCGGACTCGAGCTTTGGAGATGGCGCCCCTGCCAGAAGGTTGATACTCTCGGAGGCCTCGCGCACCCAATTGTCGACGAAGCCGCGCCGGCGGACACGAGAACGCACCGCGCGGTAAGGGGCCGAGCCTGAAGGCGCGGCCGGCGAGCCTCGGGAACCATCCACAGGGAACAGCGAAGCAGGGGCATCTCGAAGCTAACTGCCGCCCCCGGCCCCCTCTGAACCAGAACCTCTGCCGCCGCCTCTGCCGCCTCCCTTGCGGCCAGCCGCCGCCGCCAAACGCTTCAGCTCCGCCGCCTGCTGCTGCGCCTTCTGCTGCAGCTCGGACCCGCTGGAACCGCCGCCCCCGCCGCCGCCCCCACCGCCGCCGCCGCGGGCCAAGGCCCGCTCCTCTCGGACTTTCCTCTTCTCCTTGAGGATGGCCGCCTCGCAGTGGAGCTCACTGTTGATGTGCCGCTGCAGCTCGGGGGAGACCATCGGCAAGCCTCTGGTCTCCCCCGTGCCCATGTACAAAAACTGGTCGTCAAAGAGCTAGTCCGTGGAGCGGCCGATGACCCTGTCGCAGTGTCGCCGCTCCGCCATCTGAGCCAGCCCGGCCAACAACTCGCACGCTGCGCGCTCAGAGATGTTGACCTGATCGAACGCGACACCGATTTCAAACATACGCATAGCAAGATCATGATCTGGCACCCCTCCGCCCCAAGGCTCGAGACCGGCCTTGTGGACCCACTTTGTGTCTCGCACGAGGATGCTGATCCTGAAAGGCAAAGAACTCCACGCACCATTTCACCGTTCTTGGCCCCATGATGGGTCACCCGGCCCAGGTGGACTCCGTCAGCTGGAGGACGCCACGCGAAAAACTGAGGTGCCGCACGCCCTTGCTGTCGAGCACGAGCGGCAGCAAACGGGCGTCGAGCTCGAAGTCAAAGCCCGGGGCTGCTGGGTCCACGGCGACGGCGAGGAGGAGCCCGCCGCCGCGCCGCGCCAGGACGCAGCCACCCATCCTCACGTACGAGTCGACCTTGGTGGAGGTCAGCTGCCGCTTGTCCGTGCTCCCGTCAGTGGGGGCGAGGCCAAACCACTCCAGGGGCGAGACGTCCGACAACTCCTGACCCCCAGCGTCGAAATCAGCCGCTGGAGCTGCTGTCGTTTGGGCGTCGGCCCCAGGAGTGGCCTGCTTGCCTATCAGGCGCCGCCGAGACCCCATGTCGGTCGCGGTGCCCTCGGGCTGGACTAACTCCAGAGCCTCCATCACCTCCAGGGGAGTGGGCACCCAGTCGGCGCCGTATGCCGCACTCCGAGCTGACCACTTCTTCCCCTCGCTCGAATTCGGGGATGATGGATTCGTCGTTCTTGAAAGCCACGAGGCCCGTGATCCCGCCATTCCTCACCTCCAGGACGTGCGGATAGATATCGAGGTCCGGGGTGAAGGCGTACCAGATCCGCCCCGCTGCTTCCTGTGCTGGAGTCGCCGCGACCCCGCCTTCGGCCTCGGCCTCGGCGGCGGTGCACTTCATGATCAGGATACGGTGCTCCCACGAGCCCCGAATGCGCCACTGCACCGCGATGCGACGCCCAGGACGGAAGACACCAGCCATAGCAGCAGGCCGCCAAGCCCAGGCCGACGAGGATGCCGACCAAGAAACTCAGGAGGAGCCCCAGCCGAACGTAGTCTACGACCTGGCTCTGAAAGGAGCAGTTCTTGGCGGCTTCCAGCGCCGGCAATATCTGAGCCCTCACGGAGCTGAAGGCGAAACATGGTGAGAGGTTGCTGATCACAGTCAGCGCTGGTTCGGGAAGCGTACAGGTCTGTGGAGGTGGCCGCCTTTGAAAGCTTGAGCAAGAACGATGGTAACGGCATCGCGTCGGCCAGACGAGCGAGCAGGAGCAATCACGTTTCGAAAACAGGGCAGGGGCTTGGGGGGGAAGAATATGCCAGGCTCATGACGCGATCCTCGCTTGGTTGCGCCGTCGGCAAGGCAATGCCTCCCAAGTGAAGCCTATGGCCAACGAGGGTCTGGCTGTTCCCTTTGGGGGAGTAACGTGCGGTGCTGAGGTGCAGAGGGGGAAGGTCTCTACTTTTTCAACCATACTTTTCAACCCTATATCTCCTGCCTTTTCCCTCCTCGGAATGCCCGTCCACTTTACCTGATGGTACCCCGTGCCCGTCCACTTCCAGAGCGGGCCTGCGCCTCTGGCGCGCGAGGCGGTGGTGTCCACCCGGCCGCTGCTGCCTCTGCCCTGCGTTGCTCTTCACCGCGTTGTCTTCTCGCCCTCATCTCGCCATCATGCGCTTCGACTTTTCCTGCACTGCGACCGACCGACCGACCGCAGAAGGAGGAGGACGAGGAGGCGGAAACAGAAGAAGAATAAGAGAAAAGGCGGAGCAGCAGCAGCAGCGGGAGCACAAGGAGGAGGACGACAGTGGCGATGGGCGATGGAACTCTCAACGGAATCCCCTTGCGCGCCCACGACCTCGGATGCCTGCCCAGCGGTGTGACGCCACCACTCCGCCGGGTCCGCCGCGCACCGTCAGGGCTCGCTCGCCCGCCCAGTTCAATGCCCACCACCCCAGGACTCGCCGGAGAGCAGCCCGCCAGCGAGGCGGCCACTAGCCTCCCTGGCTCCGTGCCCAATGTTTGAGCCTTCTGCGGCCCGAAGCGCTCGCTCCCGAAAGTTTGCACCGCGCGAGCGACTGCGCGCGGAGCAACCAGACGTGAACAAGGCTAAAGGCCCTAAAGGCCAAGGGTTACCCGCGAATTGGGATCCCCCTAAGCGATGACATTCCACGCGCCTCTGGGTAGCCTCGTTTTCCAACTTTAGCCGTGGCTTGCTCGTTTTCTCAGCGGAGTCATTGGAGTCGCTGGTCTCGGGTTCTCGTCCTCCTGGACCCTCTACCACCTTGTCCTCCTACTCATCGTCCACCTTCTACCAACTCGTCCTTCTACTCATCTCCCCCTCCTCATTGGCATCCGCCTCCTCCTCCTCGTCCTCCTCCTCCTCCTCCCTCCTCCCTCCTGCCCCCTCATACTCACACTTCCCCAGAGACTTACAAATCTCGACGACCCCACTGGTCCCCCCGTTGGGAGGACGCTGCAGCGCCGTCTGCCCCCTGATGTCCTCTGCATATTTCTCTGAGGCCGCTGACCGAGGCGCATCAGACTCCCGCCTGCCGCCCAGCAACACGAAGGCATGGCCATTCCCGATGCAGCCCAAGGCTGCGCCAGGCCGAACAAAAACTGCGGGGGGCGTTTGCGGCCATCTGCCCCCCCCCCCCAAGTCCAGGCCAGGCACGCGCTCGCCTCCTCGTCGCCACCGCCGTCGCCATCCCCGCTGCTGTGGCCGTCGTGGAGGTCGCCGTCGTCGTCGCCTTCGCCAGATTTGCCGTCGCCGTCGGCGTCGCCGACACCGTCGACTAGTCGCTATCGACATAGTCGCCGAGCTTCGAGGTGGCAGTCTCCAGACGCAAGAAAAGATAGCGCTGAGACCAGTTTCGCCTGCGGGGCTCTTCAGTCATTGGGCAGCAGACGGCAACAGTCCGCGAGGGATCCACGATCCAAATGCTGGGGGGACAACATCAAGGTAACAATACCGCTACTCCTCAGACCTTTCACGGGTTGCGTTCTGAACAGACTTCCGAGGAGAACCCAGTCGTATTGACAAGAGCTCTCCAGGACAAGCAGCGGCAGCGGTACGTTTTCGTCCTCTGAGATTCATGAGCAAAAAGAGCCAACACCACCAGAACTGAAAGATAATCAGATAATTCCGTTCTCAAAAGCCACCCCCCCGGGGTTGCGCGCCTGGAACGGGGCGCGACCAGCTCGGCCCCCCTGGCTGGTGGTGTTTTTTGCTTCTCTGGTGAGAGGTGCTGGGGGCGCCGGGGCGCCGCTCTGACTGACAATGACTGGCGGTGAAACAGAAGCACAAGCGAACGAGAGAAGAAAAAGAGAGAGAGAACAACAAAAGCAAACAACAAACTAACAAAGCAGAACAGCAGTGCCTCAGGAACACCATCGGCCGCGCGGCGCCCAGCGAGATCTTGCGCGCGTGGCGGGTCCGATGCGTGGCGCAGTGGACGTGGTGCGGGCTGCAAGCCTCGACCTGCGCGCGGGGGGTGGCCGTCGTCGGAAGCCGACGCCAAGCCTCCATAACAGGCATCGACGTGCACACATTGAGTCGAACTGCAGGCGCTCCACACAAGGAATATTTTTGAATCGACCTGCAGGCGCTCAACATGAGGAATTGATGCCCAAACCCTTTAATCAAATAGTCTGTTTATGAACACTTTGCTAGAATGAGAGAGAGCGTCATCCACCGCCGCTTTGCTGTGGAAAATTCCCCCCCCTCTTCCTCTGGAACCCGGGGTCCCCCCCCTTCCCGAAAATCCCCCCCCGCCTGCTGGACCCCCCCCCCTTCCCCCTGGCAAAACCCTCCCCCCTCCCTACCCCCCCCCCCCCCCCCTCCGGAAAACTGGGGGTGGGGTCACTATACCGGTTCGAACCCCCCTCCCCCCCAGAAAACCAGAAAGGGGTCACTACCGGTTCGAACATCCCCCCCACCCGGACTACCGGTTCGAACCCAGGAGGGGGTCACTATACCGGTTCGACCCCCCCCCCCCCCGGAAAACCCGGGGATCACTGCCGGTTCGAACCCCACCCCCACCTCCGGGAAACCGAGAGGGGTCACTACCCGTTCGACCCCCCCCCCCCCCTCTCGAAAACCGGGGGGTGTCACTACCGGTTCGAACCACCCACCCCCCCTCGAAAACCAGGGGGGGGTCACTACCGGCCCTCGAAAACCGGGGAGGGATCACTACCGGTTCGAACCTCTACCCCCCCCCACGCTCACCGCCAGCAAACGACTCTGGGTCCCTACCACCGTCCGCACCACATCCCCCACTGCTGTCCCCAGCACCACTGTCCTCACCACCACCGTCCCCACTATTCCCACCACCGTCACCACTGTCCCACTGTTTCCATCACATCCCACTGTCCCCACACCACTGTCCCCACCACCACCGTCCCCAACACTGTCCGACCACTGTCCCACTTTCCCCACTGTTTCCACCATTGTCCCCGCTGTCCCCACCAGTTCTTCCACCAGTGTCTCACTGTCCCCACTCTCCTCGCCACTGTCCCACCACAATCCCACTCTCCCCACTTTCCCCACGGTCCCCACCACTGTCCCACTGTCCCCACTGTTCCCACCACTGTCCCACTGTCCCCGCCGCTGTCCCACTGTGCTGTCCCACCGTCCCCACTGTCCCCATCACTGTCCCACTGTCCCCACTGTCCCCACCACTGTCCCCCACTGTACTACTGTCCCACCACTGTCCGCACCACCGCCCTCACAACTGACCTCACCACTACCGTCCCCACCACTGTCCCACTGTCCCCTCGCCACTGTCCCGTTGTCCCCTCGCCACTGTCCCCACCACCGCCGTCCCCACCACTGTCCGCACCACTGTCCCACTGTCC